GAGAAAAAGAACACGTTACGTGCACGGTTCACGTTTGAGTACAGGAAAAACGCGATTAAACGATCGGGAAAAAAATCGGTCGTTTCCGCGAAACGGTGGGCAGCGGGAGAGGCGAGAAGGAATGGAAACTCGCAAGAGCTTGGAAGGGCAACCGCGTAATCTCGCGATTACACGTTATTTTAATCTTCTCCGGCCGTCGCTGATCGACGCGTCACCGCGCGTTGCGCGGCGGCGGCGGCGGATGTCGTAAAATTACGGTGGCCGCCGCGTTAAAATCGAAAAAGATTCCGAATTGCTCGCGCTCGCATACAACGGTCGCGCGTACAACAGCTGTGGATGGAAAATTATAACTCGTCACGCGAACCGCTAGCCGGGGAGAGGCTAGAGGACAACGCTCTAAAACGCTCGGGCTCTTTCCACAGCGAATTTAACGGGCGTATATGGCTGAGAGAGGGCCATGGCTGGCTAGAACAAAAAGTGAATGGTAATACGGCGGCGACCAAGGATGCCATAATGGAAGCCCACGACCAACACGACGACCGCTCCCCGTTTGCTCTACTTTTTTGCCGACACCGTATGCTCCCAACTTTTGAACTCCGTATAAAGATCGCGTCTTCTTTCCTTCTCTTCCCCCTCTCGACTCGGCTCGAGAATTGGGTGCGAAAAGTATTGCGAAAGAATTAATACGATATCCCTCGAAAGGAGATATCGATTACGTCGAAGCAGATGTAAAATCGAAACACCGAAAAGAGGAGGAAAATCGATCGGAAGGGAAAAATCATGGTATCCCGGTGATTAGCCGGCGCTAGGCGTTAACGTTGCTCGGAGCAGGTTTGGCGGGGCCGCGGTGTGCGTGAGCGAGAGAGCAAGCGAGTGTGTGCGAGTGCGCGCGAGCATGTAGTCGCGAGCGAGCGAGCGAGCGAGCGGACGGGCGAGCGCGCGAGGGAACGAGAGAGGGATAGCCGGGGCGATCGTGGAACGGAGAGAGAGAGAGAAAGGGAGAGAGAGAGAGAGAGAGAAGCGGGTCCCGGCAAACAAGAAGCGAGCCGCAATGCATTCGCTCTACTCGCTAGATATAAATACGCGACAGAGGGCAAGGAACCAACCACGCCTGCACCGACAGCTACTGCCTAACGACACGGACACGCACACGCGGTCGCTCATTGTGATAAAGCAGAAGAAGGAGCAGAGAGAAGGATGGAAAGAGTAGGAGAGGGAGGGAGAGAGAGAGAGAGAGAGAGAGAGGAGGATATGGAAGAGAGAAAAAGAGGGAAAGAGGGAAAGAAAGAGCCGCGAGCAGGGAGAGTAGAAAGGGGAGAGGGAGATGGTGGAAGAGAAAGAAGGAAGGAAAGAGAAAGAGTGGGGAAAAAAAGTGGGAGCGAGAGAGAGAGGGAGAGAGAGATAGGTGTAGGCTGCGTTCGTTCGTTCATGCGCCCATCCGCGCGCTCGAAGTTGGGACGAATGTGGCCGGTCGAGTCTCTAGAAGACGCGGCCAAATATTGCATCCTCGGATAAATATAGGCGGACACGGGTGCACAGGCCGTGCTGCTCGAAGCGATGTTAACGCACACTTTTCTTCTCGGTTGCACGGCTGTCTTTGGGACGGCACGCAGCCATCTAGCCACCGACGGCATTCCTCTTGCGGGCTCTTTCTCCTCTTTCCATGTGCGAGAGCGATCGTTAAATTCGTTTCGTGGCCGAGAACTTCGGGGCCGGCACGTTGCCCCGTTGCCTCTCCTCGTTCTTCTTCTTCTTCTCGCTTCCTCCGCACTTTTTCCAATCCTCTCCACTCGTTTTTTTTTTTTTTCGTTCCTTCGGTTTGTTCCGTTTGTTTCGATCGAGAAGGGAAATATCGAGAGAGAGAGAGAGAGAGAGTTTAGGATGTATCGTAGGAGGAATGGACGTAAAAATCAAAGGGGATGGATTTGGTTCGAGCGAAAGCACGAAAATTTGTAGAGAGTGGCGCGCGAGCGAAACGCGATTCCTCCAGAAAGTCGGCAAGCTCGCGTTCGAAATCGCGACGTTATCATACCGACGTTACCGCGCCCGATAACTCGCAATCGGGTCAGCACAACGGTGCATTGTGAATAACCGCAATAACAAATATATCCTTTCCACGATATTCGCCACGGCTTTGTTTCGATTACGAGGAGAAATCGTGCAACCCTCGAAACGAATTCGAGATCGGCAAAATAAACTCCAAGTCGTTGATCTCATCGATCGATGGATAGAGAGATGGATCGATCAATGTTCTCGATGTTGAACTTCGTGTTTCACCTTAACACGAAAACCGAAGACGGAGCGGCTTTCTTCGTATTTTCGCGGCACGTATACGCGAAAGAAGTCTCGATTCGAGTAAAGCGCAGCAGCCGTCGTCGCTTTGTTTTCGCAGCAGCAGGCATAACCTTCGAACGGGCGGCGGGCGCGAGCGTGTCGCGGCTGGTGCACGTGGCTACAACACGGCCAGGCATAGTCAGTGAAAATCATCGTGCGCGGACATTGGGTGGCGGGAAACGTGCGTGATACCATGGGGGGAGGGGTGGGCCACGGAGGGAGGCCCTAATCAAGCTAGCGCGTGAAACCTAACCTAACGTAGCGACGGTCCGGGGGTGGAAGGGGGGACGGCCCCCGTGTCGCCCCCGCGGCGAGGCGAGGCGGCGGCCAGGGAACAGAGCAGACAGAGAGAAGAGACGGTTATCGCGGAAGTTCGGCAATTATAGGTGCCGAGTCGCGTTTTTTTTCCACGACTGATATTGATTTGGGAGAGGCAGTTCGTATTCGTGGCACGAGCATACCTTGTGACTCGCACAGGCGGCCGGCAGCGCGATGCATCACGGCGCACCGCGCATCGAGGGGTACATCGGGCACAGGGAGTGAGAGACGAACGAGGGGAGGCAGAAGACGAGGGGGAGGAAAGCCGACTGGAAGAGCCCCCACTCCGAAACCTCCTCTCCGCCGAAACTCCCCCTACCATGCAACCCCACACCCCCCACCACACGCGCTATCAAATCCCTTCCACGCTCGTGCAACGGACATAACTTCCTCGCTGCTCCGACTCCATTCGCCTCTCTCCTTCCCTCCCACGACTCCGCCGTTCCGTCTCTCCTTTTCTGGCCTGGGATGCGTCCTCTCCTCCGGCTCGGTCACCGCCGCCGCCACCACTGCCACTGCCTCCGCCGTCACCACCACCATCGCCGTCACCACCACCCTTCTCTCCGTTCGCCAGGGGCGAACTTTGCATTTCGCCGCCCCTGGATTCCACCACCGATTTCTAAACCGATTTCGTAAGATCGGTAACAGGGGAAAGTTGTATTTATAGCTGACAACGGCAGATAGAAATGTCCACCGATGTTGGTTTCGCGAGATCGTTCGGCGAAAGAGGAGGAAAGTACTCTCGTTCGTATTCTTTTTCTCTTTTCTTTTCTCTCTTTTCTCGGGAACGAGAATTTTTAATTTAAATCTCGGAACAACGAACGGGGATAGATCGAGGATTAAGTTTTCCCCTCGCACGAGCGGGCGATTCTTCGAAAAATTACTCCTCGAACCTCCTCGGTCCTCCTCCTCCTCCTCCCGAAACGTAGTCGGTTTCGAAGCACGGTTTCGGGACCGTGAGGTACCCGGGCCGTATCTGTAATTGACTCACGAACAAAGTATAAATTCGCTACCGTCCAATTAACGACAAAATCAAGAGGAACTCGTTGACCGGCAATCGTCTGCATGCGAGGCCGTCGAGAAAATTTTGCCCGTCACGCTACCCCAATTTACCCGTACCGGTTGCAATAGCCGAACAACCGAAGGACCAAAGTGGATAACCAAAGGGGACACGGAGAACGAGGGAGAGATATCTAGGGGTTCTCCATCCCTACTCGACTCGAGGCGCACCTCGTGCCCCTGCATCGTGGAAGAAGGAAGAATCGGTCGGGTTTAACGCGCGCGTGTTACGGAACCGGAGCCGCGTGAATCCGCCCCTGCCGCCATCACCACTGGTTCGACGCCGCGCCGGCACCTTCTCCGCTCGTCCTCTCCCGACCACGGTTGTCTACCATCCCAAACCCGAACCAGTCCAGAAATCCCCACTCCGGGAGCGCGCACCGCGGCGACGGAAGTGTGGCAACGCTGCAGCTCGCCAGTGTCTCGGTCTTGGCGAGTTACTCGGGGGGGCTCAGGCCGAGTCTACCGAGTTTGTGTCTACCGGCGCGGGTAACCTGAAAGCGAGTGTGCCGAGGATCAAAGTCGCGGGCCTCTAGCCGGCATGCGAGACCGTCTCGCTGCTTGAAGGCCGTAACCGGGAAAAACGTGATCGAAAGGGAGGACCGGTCGAGGAGGAGAAAGAGAGAGAGACAGAGAAAAAGGACGAAGAAAGAAGAGAAAGAGAGAGGGAGAGAGAGAGAGAGAGGAGAGAAAGAGAGAGAAGAAGAACCGGGGGAAAGACCAAAAAAAAAAGAAAAAGGAGTTGGAAAAAATTAAAAGTTGCGCTTCGTTCGTTCTGGCTCCTAAAATAATAACCGAGAAGTTTTTTTTTCACGGCCGCGATCATCGGGGAACGATATCGTGTCACAACGGAGGGATCGCGACGTGGTAGGGAAAAAGAACGACACAGGAGACACAGGAAGAAGAGAAAAGAGAGGAAAAAACGAAAGGAACGAGAGCCAGAGACGGGACACACGTTTCGCGCGTTTGTCGTTCGTCACGTCACATCTTGCCCGCCGTGATCACGCGAACGTGCGCGCTTCGAATCTACATTACGTTCTATACGACACCTAACCACCTACGTGCACGCGTATATACGTACGCGGTACGGACACGCGCGTGTATACGTGTACGTGAATATCGTCCGTACAGAAGACGAGGCAGAAGAAACAAAAGGAAAAAGAGAAGGAAAAAAAATATATTCATACACACACACACACATACATATATATATATACGTGTACATACGTGTATATATAAATATATATATATATATATATCGACACGGTGAAAAGGAAAAACGCGCGACGAAAAAGCAGTGTAAATGGCGCTCTCCGCACAGAACCAGTCGACGTCGTACGTGAACTTATATTACTCGATCGTCCAGCGTGCGGCGACACGCTACTTTAAGGAATATTACAACTCCGGTGAGTACCAGCAACCAGCAATCCACTACACCGGAATATATTATAACCGTTTCTTCGTTGTTAATCGTCGATGTCCCGCAAACGAGAGAGAAAGAGAGAGAGAGAGAGAGAGAGAGACGGAGCGAGAGCGAGAGCGAGAGCGAGAGCGAGAGAGAGCGAGAGCGAGAGAGAGAAAGAGAGAGAGAGAAAAGAAAAAAAAGAGTAAATTAAAAAATCGATCATCATCGGGTTATTTAACCACGAGCATCAAATCCCGTGAATCAAAAATCACACGCATCGAATCGTTTGGCCACCTGTGCGTCGTCCACGTTTTGCCAAAACTACGTCATCGCGAGCGCGCGCTGTATACGCGCGGTTTCGAATTTTCCCGCCCTCCCTCCTTCCCTCGCTCTGGCTCGCTCCAACACACTCGCAGCGGCACACGTATACCTACCAACTCACTCACCCGAACTACGAGCATACACGCGTTCTATCTCCGTTCGTTTCTCTCTCGGCAACTTTGTCCGCTCCCTCCTGATCCACCGCCGACCGACGACTCCCCCACACAATGTACACACACACACACACACACGCACGCACGCACATATACGTACACACACGCGTGCACACCCACGGAACGGCCGTGGCTGTATATACACACACGGGACAAAGACAGATACTACCGTGCCAGCACCTACTAACGGATAAGTGCTCTTCCAACACTGATTAAAACACGCTGCCGGCTAGACACGTGCCCGCTTCTAAACTCGTGTGTGCTCCTATAGTATTCCGGTAGTCGGAGAGAAAGAGAGAACGGGAGTGGAGCGTTACCGAACGAATCACACGTTTCCTCTTCGAACCGGTGTGCTCCGCGTCTCTCTATTCCGGTCATCGTCATCGTCTTCGTGGAGAACAGTGCTCCGAAAAAAAAAAAAAAAAAAAGAAAGAAAAAAAAAGGGAGGGAAAGAGAGAGAAAAAGAAAACGGGTATTAGGTGAACACGGTATAGGGATATAGGAGTCGGGGAATCGTGAAGGAACCCCAGCGAACAGCACGGAAAGAGTCGGAGAGAGAGAGAGAGAGAGAGAGAGAGAGAGAGGAGAAGAATAGAGGACCGGAGGAGGAAGGCGGGGGATAAAAAAAGAGAGAAAGAGAGAAAAAGAAGAGGGAGAACCGTGAAGAATCTCGGTATCCGTCGGTGTGATCGTGTCCGCTTGGGCGATTTGCAAAACCCGAGAAAGGAAAAAGTGTGCGAGAGAAAGAGCGCGAGGAGGGGGAGGGAAGAGCGAGCGAGAAACGCAGGGAAGTGGGAGGGAGATAGAGACGGAAAGAAAGAGACGCGAGGCGTGAGCGAAAGAGCGAGAGATCGGGCGGTATAGGAGCGAGCGAGCAAGAGAGAGCCTGCTGATCCGCAAAATACGGTCTCGTTACACTATCGTCGGTGTTGGGTCATCTAATCGCCTCTGAAATTATCGTCTCGCCAGTGCAGAGTGACGAAACACACTCTCTCCGGGAGCAATCAGTTTTCGAGGGTACTGGTTCGTGGTGCTTGCTCGACGACTACGAGACTCTCGCCGCGAGTCCTTCGAATACCGATCTCGTTCCGATCTCGTTCCGATCTCGTTTCGTTCTCTCGTTTTCGCGTGTCACGCGTATACGTATACACTATATATATATATATATATATATATATATATATAATACGTTCAGAGCCCGATCGCCGCTACCGGGCCTTCTGGCCTGCCTGGTCAAGGTGAACATTGGCAAGAGACCACGGAGAGAGAGGAGAGAAATTGTGCGCGAAGATCGCGTTGCTCGTGACCGAGAGAGAAGGTCCCTCGTGAGAAATCGGATCGTCGGAGATCGTGGTGCCCGACGTGAATGCTTCGAAACGGAGTCACAGTCTCGTTTTTTTTTATTTTTCTGGTGCGTTCCTCCCGAACGACGGGATGTTCAACGTGTTCGTGGACGCCGATCGACGGATACGTTCCCTCGATCGGTTCGTTTGCATCGGGAGCGCGATACGTGAACGAAATCAGTGATCAGTTGTTGTTGCTATTGTTGTTGTTGCTGTTGTTGTTGTTGTTGTTGTTGTCGTTGTTGATGTTCGTCGAGCCGATACAGGTCGATCGTGTGCAACGTACGATCGAGCAACGCTCGTGGAAAATGGACGATCATCCTCGTTGTAGTACGTTGAGAAAGAGAGTTCTGTTTCATCGCGGTTGTTCGAGTGTTCTTGTCGCTGTTCGATTGGACGACGCCGTCGAGGAGGCGCGCTCCACGTCGTTTGAATATCGTGTTGCGCTTACGCTACCTCGGGTCTCGTGTTCGCGTTAAATGTCGAACGGCGAGCTTCCGTGGAACGGAGAAACGGTGTTTCGGGTGTACTATGCGTGCCACGCTTGATAATCTCGGGGATCGTTTCGTCTCCGAAATTTTCGAAATTTCGTTAGTTTCGCGTCGTTCGAAATTGTTCCTCGTATTAATATTCCCCCTCTTGATATCGATCATCGTTGTATCGATCGTTTAACGTTTTTTCTTTTTTTTTTTTTTTTTTTTTTAATTATTCCTCTCCCCTCCTTTTTTTCGAGTCCCGAGGAAAAAGTGCGCGGTGATGCATCCGACCGAAAGAAATCTCGAAGAAATCGAAGAGATAAAATCCTTTCTCTCTCTCTCTCTCTCTCTCTCTCGTTCGTTCCCTTTCTACGAAGCGTCGAATTGTAATCTAGTTTCGCGAAAAAAAAAATACAACGAAGAGGTAAAAAAAAAAAAAAAAAAAAGTAGCGACGAACGAACAAAGAGAGAGAGGGAGAGAGAGAGAGAGAGGGGGGGAAAGGGAGAGGGAGAGAAGAGAGTTATCGAGCGCGGCAAGAGTGAACGTTATCTCTGCTGTAGGTTTATCGCGATATTCCTCTTTGGCGTCGTCATCGAAACAGGATCATTTTCGCCGGTTGACATGACGAGGATATCGCCATCGGCTGGTGATCCCGGATCGTTATTGGACAGTATAAAGTCAATCGCGGCGAATAACACGATTGGTTCTCGTTTAGCTCCGCTAACCCGGCTTCCCGACTTGGACCACCAGAACTACACATGATCGGTCTGTGGAACTTTGCTTATTTCAGAGGTACTTGTCGCACGTTCAACTTTTCAATAGACGCGGAATACAATCCTGTTATCCTTTCCTTTCTCCCCCTCTCTCCTCCGTCCCAGCTTTCTTTCTGTTATATTCGATCGACTTTAAACCAGCTGCGCGCACCAGCGGGTAGAAACTTATCGAACTTCGCGTTCGACTTGTGCTCCCATTTGCATGCAATTATTACAACGCGCGATAAAACACGCGGCCGAACGATCCTCTCCTTCTTCGCTGGATCATATATAAATATACATATATATATCCGAGATTGTTCGCGGAATAATCTGTAATTGTGTAAAACACTACTCGTGTACATTTCCATCGATTATCGAATATCCTTCGAATCGAAAACGAAAGGTCTCTCGTCCAGAAAAATCGAAATCAAAGATGTCGTGACGATTCGTGGCAATCAAAAACACGTACATATATATATATATATATATATATATATACGTATACACGTATATATGTATATATTTGGAAAATAAACGTCAACGGGTTTATCGTGTGACTTCTGACGATAAGAGAGAGGCGAGCGTTGCTCCGTATCAACGAGAACGTAAGAATCGAGAACGCTGCGTGTTTGCTCGGTTGCGGAAAATCTGAGATCAGACCTCGACGGGAGGTCGATCCGTTGTTTTGCCGAGAAAACTTGGCCGCCAAAAAGGAGGCGATCCTCTTTCTCGCGTCGATTATTCATCCGTTATTCGCCGGGTTTAGAATTCGGGTTAAATTTTGGAAACGATCGTTCCCGGCGAATAAATCCGAATTGATTTATCTTTAGGAGGAGGAGCGCGTCCCGTGCCAAGAAGGTTCTTCTTCCGTATCGTCGTTGCCACGATCTCGCCTAACCTTGCCAACGTTGGTCGAAGTGTCGAAAGTGGTCGATGGTAGTCGATGACCGCGGTAATAAAAGAGGAATACGGCGAATGATCTACGGATTGGAGTGCTTTCGTTTCGTGGCAACGATAAGCTGGATTCTCTTATCCGGCGGAGGACGGATTCGGGCGTTGAAGAAGCGTGGCGCGCGTTAAAGAAACGCGCGTGGATAGGGGCGTACGGATAGGAAGGAAATGGGGCTCGATCGAACGGAATGAAGTTAGTTGGGCGTTGTGTACGTTTCGCCGAGAGACGACGAAACGAAACGGCGAGATAGCGTGAAAGAAAAAGGTGTCGTGGAATCCTTTCTACCTCTCACAGCCTTTCACCGATGGAGAACTTCCGTTTTTTTTTATACATATATAAATATATTCGTTCACTACGTATTATTATTCGGAAATTGATCGCCGACCATCGATGGAAAAAAAAAAAAAGGAAAAGAGAAAAATGATATTTCTAATGAATTCGTTCTAGGATGATTCGAAGGTAAACGAAAAAAAATACGGCCTCCCCTCCCTCGCATGGGTGCTATTCGATCGACAAAAGTATTAAAAAACAAAGCTCCTACAGGATGGAATAATAAAAGATAGAACAAAGCCGGAGAAGAGAGAGGGGAGGAGGGGAAAAAAAAAAAAAAAAAGCTACGCGACGTTTCGGCCGTTCGTTCGTCAATGCGTGCTACAACAACGGAGGGTTCGCGGGGGTTGCCTCGACGAGTGTTAACGCGCTCGCGTGTACTCCCGTCTCGTTTCTGTCTATTTTTCTGAAAACAAACATTCGATCTGACGAGCTATATAACACCGATGGAATACTAGAGAAGGACCACTCGTTCCTCGAGCACCCTTCGCGCCGCCATCGCGGAAAGTTATGTTTTTGTTGCGCTCGATTCGCGTGTTTTTTTCGTCTCTTTTCCTTCCACGCGCGCGCACACGCCCCGTCGGTCCCTTCAGCCCCGCTCGATACGAAAATGGGCCGCAGGTATTCCCTCTGACACTCGATAAATAGCG